GGGTATTACATTGAAGTGGCATTAAGTGTCGTAATGTGTACCTCTGCCTACCCCTTCGGGGATAAAAGGCGTGATGTTGTTTTGTAAAAATATTCCAATAAATACACTATTCTTATTTAGTCAATGGTTAAGTATGACCATGACGTGATGTCCTCTCTATATGGCATTACGTCTGGGACAAGTTTGCATAAACGGCTCACTGTACCGTTTCAAGAAACTATTGTAAAAAATCAACAGTTACATTTAGTACTTAAAATACCTAAATCAGATGTATGGACGTTTCTAGAAAAACAATATGGATGATTCAGTTTTAGCTTTCATAATAGTGACGTTGATTTGTGCACTGCAAAGATGGAAAAGGAGAGAGAATAGATTTGTTACAACCTCTATTCTCTCCGCGGGTAGTTTTTTAAGACAAACCCGCGATAACCTCCCAAATAACCCGGATCTATAGTAGATACAACTATGAAATCCCGTAGCTATCATAAGAACAGACTAAGCAACAACATATTGACAGAGACCAGGAACAGTGATCCCTGATGATCCTTTTTAACTACGATCTACAACCCATTTGCGTGATGAGGACACACCCCCTCATGTCGAAAGAGGGGTACAATCAAATAGTGAACTGCTATCACTATTTAATCGTTCACGTGTGTATTGTATACACCAACAAAATCCCAGTAATAATTATCTTCTTTACAGATAAATAAAATTGAAGTGTCTGTTTGTAATATTAAAGTAACCGCTTTTTAACTCGTCGAGTACCGTCATTATAGACACAATTATAGAACAATAGGTTGCGGTCACCGGTGACCGCAACCTATTGTTCTATAATTGTGTCTGCAAAACCGGTACTCGACGAGTTAATACATGCATAATGAATATACCAAAATAAAATATTTTTCAATTTATGTCTGTCTGTGTGTTTGTACTGTCTAATCTTTGGAATGGCTGGACCGATTTTGCAAGACTTTTATTGGCAGGTAGCTGATGTACTAAGAAGTAACATAGGCTACTTTTATTTTGGAAAATTGATACAAAAAACTGCCTCGTTGGCCGAGTGGTCGCAAGCGCGACTGCCGGTCAAGGGGTCTCGAGTTCGATTCCCGGGTCGGGCAAAGTATTATTGGGTTTTAAAAAAAATCTCAGTAGTAGCACGGAGTCTAGAAATGTGCCCGGTCTATGGCAATAGGCTCACCCCATATTACATGGGACTCATAACATAAATAGTGAAAAGTGGGTGTTACTTCTGTATGCACCTCTGCCTACCTCTTCTGGGATAAAAGGCGTGATGTTATGTTATGTTATGATACAAAAAAATGGTATGTTCTAAAATTAATATTCTACGCAGACGTAGTGGCGGGCAACAGTTAGTTCCAAATAACATTTAACATGCGTTTAGATAAACAGTATGCTAAGATTTTAAAACCAAATCTAGCTTTAACTACCATTCCACATGAAAGTAATAACATCTAAATATCACTAGCAAAGGTTAATTGAATGCTAAATAAACACACATTAAAAGGACATGGGATTCATATCCGAGGTGATTCAAAGCAACGACATACCTATAGGAAGAATGTCATCACACGACACTACATGACACTGTGACTAAACAGCGACACAAAACACTAATGATCAAGTCTCAAAAGTCTATCAAACGGTACCGTTTTAAATGGAGTTTTGACTTACTGTATGGTGATAGTAAAGTAGAATTGTATACTTGCCAACTAGTCAAATTCAATACTTTTTTCGAACTGTCAAAATCGTCAGTTTTTTATCAATTTTGTATGAGGTTATGAATGGTGACGGCACCTTTTTTTAGCGTCAACCCGCATACCTACATAATTATAAAAAAAAAATACTAAAAGTAATATGGTCTTAAAATCGATTAATCAAATTGTGTTTATTTTTTTTATATGTTATTGTATTAAACAGTCGAAATATATTTTTTTTTATTTAGGAAAGTATTCAATGTATTTAATTATATTCTGTTGACAAAGTCTCGTAAAAACTGACTAAGAGGCTGCACATTATCACAGACAGAAACCAGGCCGAAACTTTTTGTGATAAAACTGAACATTTTACATTTCTATCTTGGACCCGCCTGCTAAGTATAAAGACTATAATCAAAATTTTTTATAAAGGAGGTTCATAGTCTAGCAATGGACTGCCATAGACTATTGATGTGTTTTTTTATGGAATAGGAGGCAAACAAACAGACGGAAAGGTGTATGTGGTGTACAAGTGACACTGTGTTCGTAATTGGAACACGGTTGAAGTCCGTCTCATCGCCACCGCCCCCGCTTCGATGAGTCAAATAAGATGAGTCTTACACTCAACAAGAAGGCACAAACAGTGATCTCACCCGGCCCTTTTATGGAAACTTGTTGCTTAATGTTTTTGTATTAAAAATTGAACAAAAAATTAGTAATTAATGGAGATATAGTAGATTTGGATTATGGTGTAAACTAATATGGGTATACGTGATGGGAGATTAATAGAGTTTGTTTGTTATCTTGTGAATCATTGTAGGGCTAATGGTCGCAAAAGCAAATCCTGAGATGCTAAATTAACCGGCTAAAAGTTACTCTGGTAACTGCAATAGGTACGTTTTTAAAGAATAGAAATAATAGAGCAGATGAATCATCTGATCTGTCCAAATATGAGCACTCGCGACACTAGAACTACGAGTGTATAGCCGACCTTTCGAAAAGGAGTACGCTCTTGGAGGTTTGAACTTCGACCGTTTATGAAATCCAGCACCCATCTATAACTACGCTTGCCATACTTAGTCTTGTAATAAAAACATTATAAAGACAAAGAGTTTAATAAAACCAGACACTAAGTACTACTCACAAGTAAAACGAGCTTCCTTGTACCCTGTCTTTATGTAAGTTTTATAATTATGTGCACGGCCATTTTGTTACAAGCTTGCTCTTCCGGGGTAAATGTTTAGTTGTCATAATTTATATCGTAGCGTTGCGATCTTAAAAGGTTTTGTAACTTAGATAAGTTGTGTAGTTATTACTTTGTATCTAAACCGTTACTGGTTTTTACCTGTGTCTCTGGTTGCGTTTCGCATTTTATTTCCGATAAAAGGTGTCGTATCATCGTATTTCTTTCTCCTTACGTGTTCAAATTTCTTTTTTAAATATAAGTAAACGTGTAAAGAAGTAAAACATTAACAACTTACTTTCGTATAATATTAGTCAGGATATATTTTTACCGTTCTATATCATTTAACCTCGCATAAATAAAGGCTGAATATTTTAAAACCGAAAAAGCCAGCAGATAAATACTTGTCACCTTTTGGACACAGGCCTCTAAGGACCACAGCCCACAACGATCCAATTCTTCAGATCCAAAAACAGTATCACCTAGAAAACGTCGAAGTCTAGCATCTAAGAGAATACCTAAGGTTTTCAAGTATTCCCGTAAGACAAGAAAAGCTAGGTAGTGATATTGCGAGGCAGACATCCCATGTCTTACACTGATGCAGCATCATAGATAAGATAGACAACAGGTTTTATTGAACACGCTCTATTTACAAGGACAAATATTCTGAGAATGTAATAACTTAATAAGTATCCAGTCACTAAATTACCAGTCATTTAGTTGGTAAGTGTGTCTTAGGCATTAGGCCTTCGATTCTAAAATTGTTGAAAATATATTGTCGTCTAGAATTAAACCCAATGTCTATAACGGTGTAGGAAGGATAGTCTTTCTTACATATATCTACGAAATTGTGAACCAAATAACTATCGTGAGACATATAATCACGTGAATATACTGAGAAAAGCTCTACTAGTTTCGAACTACAGAGTAGGCTGGCAACATCGCGACCGCGCACGCTGTTCATGAGGAAGAACCCCTCTGTGATTCGAAACTAGTAGAACTTTTCTCAGTATATTCACGTGAGTAACCCGCGATTTTTAGTTAATTATGAGGCAAAGTTAGCCTCGATGTAGTTTTAACTCCCTCAAATATAAAAACTAGTAAACATTTTTGAATAAGCCTATACATAGTAATTTAAGTTCACCTATTCGCATGAAGCGTTTCGCGTCAAGCTTCCTTGTGCGAACCGCTAAGGAATGGAATTCTTTGCCGGAATCTGTGTATCCTGATAAATATAACTTGGGTGTCTTCAAGTTCCAAATGAACAGGTTACTCATAGGTAGGCGTGCTCCATCGTCGTCCATGGTGGTTATCAATACTAAAAAAAACCTTAAAATTACTATGTATGTAAATTTTGGCGTAATTACAAAACTTAGTAGCCATCATTGTGAAGGACACCTGTACCTAAAATAACAGCCTACAATTTCGCTTTACTTTAATGTTACTGACACCCGTCCAAAGCATAAAAAGGGTTTATTTTTATTTTCTTCTCTATTTTTTCAATTACGTCTAGCCATTTAAAAAATCCCTTTTTTTATCTAAGCCTAGATTTATTTGTCTAGCCGGCTTAGAAACCTAGAACCCTGGATCTAGTTATTTGCTACCAATCGATATTCTATTTAGACGAAATTAAGGTTTAGTGATTTCGTCTCACTTCAGAATTCTAGTGTTTTCATTATCAGTTCTCTATTTCACTACGGGCTTTACAAGGAACATTTTTGTCAGAGGTGAGAACACCTCACCTCCTCCATAGATACTAAATTACGAATAATAAATGAAACCAAATGTATACAGTTAAATATTGAATGGGACCATTATGTCTTACACCTTAATTTTTGTATTTTAATGTAGAGACATTATAGTAAAATAAATAAGCTGAGATGTGTGAAGTTATTACTCCAATCCGCACGTAAAACATTTTAAAGACAGCCATACAATACAAAATGCACCTCCGACTGCCTTCGAGAACATCCCGATTTTATTAAGCACATGTCTGACATTATTTACAGTGGAGTCGGTGATCCCGGGCAACGGTATACGCCTTCGACTCTAGAACGTATTTACCAAAAGCGTATTCATATTAGATTTCCAAGCTCCCAATGCCAGCCGGCCGTATCGAGAATGTCACCGATACATTCGATACTTTATTCGAGTGAGCTCGAGAACGCCCGCCGCGACACGGAAGAGTGTCAAATAAATACAGGTTGAAATATATCTCCTGTCGCGCTCTGTGATCCTGGTACATACGTGCCATTTAAACGATGAATTTTTGTTTGGTTTTCGTGTTGTTCGGCTATTTTTTTACGTGGAGTGCCGGTATGCTGTACCGACGGGACTCTGACAATGTTTTGAAACCCGGTGGGTACATTTATTTGTTTTTTTTTTGTGTAACTCGCTTTTGAATCATTGAAATTTTTTGACGACCATAATTTTATGATGAATTCGTTTATTGGAACAGTTTTATTTGGTTTGCTATAATTTAATGAGCATTTCTACAATAAGATGTCGAATAGTAAAATTATTATTTGCACGCTTTTAACAAATTTACGCAGAATATTTTGCAGTTCATCAATAAATTATTTGCCTTTTATATCATGTCTCTTGAAGCGGTAACATCATTTTGTTGACGCTGTACTTGCACTATTTTATATTTATAATTTAAAAGCTTTAATTGGACAACTAACGAATTTATTTATGAACTGGAATTTATTTTAACCGGCAAAAACTCATACCAATTGATATAAACATGTCAGTTATAATAAAAACTCAGTGATATTATGTTTCTGGTAAATTTAAATAAATATTTTAAAATTAAATTAATAGACTTGTAAAGTGGGTTGTCTACACACAGCTACAAAAATATTTAAAACATATTTATTTTAACAAAATAAAATAAACTGAACACCCAGCTACAATTATTCATTCAGGTGTATTCATTTACATAATTCTATTCATTATATGTAAACTATTTTAATATAAATCATGCCAATAATTAAAAAATAATCTTCCTAAATATTATATTTCTCTCTATAACACAAACCGATGGAACAGTAACACACACTGATACAAATTACGTCATCTCGGTCAGTACACTGTACAAATACATATGCACTTTCGATTACACACACTAGTCCATTTCAGTAGTGTGCACATAGTACTTACACAATCTTAATACAGTCAGAAGCTGATCACGTTATGTTAAAGTGGATCTTCGATTATTTCATCATAATGCACCTGTTGTTCTGAGAAACGAAGCAGACATACTAGTATTAGCCTTTATTTCTATTAAGGACCACATTATTTATATTTAACTTAACAGACATACAGACGAAAATTCTAAAAATCATATTTTTGGTTTCGGTATCGACTGTAGATCACACCCAACGCATTCTTTAAAAAAATATTCGATGTTTTCACTTTCCTACGATTTTATTATATGTATAGATATAGACATAGATATGTATAGAAGATAGTGCGTGTGTCAAACATCACATCATCATCACTACCATTACTTTCATCATCACTATCCCTTTTTAACGTCGCGGAGAACCTAACGGGTAACCGGGGCTCCGGCTCGACGTGCAGGAGAAGGAACGGGGTGGTTTTTAGTCAGTAAGAGTCTGACACTCCCTCCCGCCTCACCCAGACGGGAGCAGTCATTCGATGATTTTCCCAGCTTAAAAAAAAAATCCCATATTAATCGTGCTATATCTACTTATTACTTAGTAAAATAATTAATTTATACCTACTCTATGTAAGTAGGTACGTTAAAAACCAACTTCAATCCTCTATTTTTGAAGTCGATTAATTGATGTACTAAAACAATCTCACAACAAACAAACACTTATCTGAAAACCCCATCAAAATCGATTTCGTCCATCGTCTGATAATCGTGCCCAAAAATAAATACATGCATCTCTTTAGAAGTCGGTTAAATAGTCAAATTCTCAGTTATTTTTTATCTACTCACATATTTAAGTCCTGCTGTTACAAGCTTCACTTACGACACTTGGCGAGATCAACGAACAAAACAGAATCTTCACTGTCTTCATTATTATAATCATCATCATAAACAATAATATAATTTATTCAATTTCTTCGTTTCCGTTAACAAGTCAACGAACGAATTGGTAACAATAAATAAATACATTAATAACTAAGTTATTTTCACAAAATATCAAATTGACACGTGTAAGAAAGAGATAAGAATATAACAGGTGAGACAGAACAAAGGTCATGACAAAAATATTTAAATGTACTCTAAATAGTGCGCCTCCATTACCTTGATAACTTAACTGCGCATGAGACTGGTGCACTTTCGAATGGTAGTGGGTACCGTCCCAGTTTGCACATTACTTATTTGGTACCCAATTCTATAAAATTGTTATGTTTAGGGTCAATTTTTAGATTCTCATAATATATATAATAAAAATAAATCCCTCTTTTCCATGGTCACGGCATCACGCGTGAATGGCTGGACCGATTTCACTAATTCTTTTTTTTGTTGTATTTGTTATATTATTAGGAATAGGTTCTAAAGTCAGAAAAAATCCTAAAAATCCTACGGGAACGGGAGAAAACGGGATTGCGCGTACGAAGTCGCGGGCAGAAGCTAATAAATGATAAGGTTAACTGGCCGCTATATGTGTTTAAGTTTATTTCAATTGTAGTTATCCAAAGTGACCATTAAGGTATTTTGTTACTACTAAACTTGTTACAGGTGTGCGTTACCCAGGCAAAATGTTTTGCTTTAGAGAGATGAGACTTAAACAAATAATTAGTGTATCATGAGGAGCAATTTGTTTACTAATAGCAAAATTTGTTTGAATTGTAGTTTTTAAGTTATTTAAGAAAAACAAATTTTGCTGGAGTAACGTTTGAAACGTTACCCAGGCAAAATAGTCTTTCAAAAATTAGTTTCAGCACGGAACCAAATACATGAATAGATAGCTTTTGTTGCGTAGTAAATGTTTATAAATAGCAAAATTTGTGTGTGGTATAGTTCTTTAGTTATTTAAGATTTTGCTGCGGTAACGTTTTGGGATTTCCCAGATCTCGAAAACGGCTCAACGCAGAAGTTTGAAAAAAATACCAATAAAAGACCTCAATTTGTTTAAATTTGTTTAATCATTAGTTTTTGATTTGGTTGACGTAAACCAATGTAATTAAATGGTTTCAAAAATCAGAAGAAGCGGGTTTACATGTAAACCAATACACTTATAACCAAATAAACAGCTGTAAAAAATACCCGTGGTTCGACGCTTGTTTACAGCAGACATTTTAGATTTCATACTTTACACGTTAAGAAGATAAAAACAAATTTGATTTATTTTAGACTGGTCGTACTTTAGCGATCGAATACGCAGTTCCCATAACATTAAGAAACATGGCATACTTTAAACAAATTAAAATGATTCATGAAAATTCCTTCCTGTTAATTGCAGCTTTGAATTACGGCTCTAATGAAAGTTATCTCAAAAACAAGAATATGTCAGCAATTCTCTAATGAGCCGACCAAATTGAAAAGGTCACATAAAAGCGACTGCACCATACATAAGCGCAACCATCTGAAATGAACAGGATAATATAGATGTTTTGTTAGTACAGTTGAATACAAAAGTTTTCTGGTCAGGTTAGTTAAAATAATAAAATGGTTAAGATTCATTATTTTTATTTAAAAAATCAGTCTCATACAAATTATATGTATTGCTTTGCCTTAGCATCAACATTTTTAGAGAAAAATCACAGATAAGTTATAACCTACTTACTTAATTTTAATATTTGGATACATTAATAGTTTGTACAATTTTCCTTAGGAGGTACTAATAACGTAGGTTGATAGGTGGACTCCATTTCACCTCGACTCACAGTATGGCATTTTAATTGGCATTAACTAGTAAAAATTGTGTAATATGGTACTGCACTTAAAAAATATTAAAAAATCGGCTTCACGAATAACGTTTTTCTGCTTAACTGTACAAAACATCGGTTACCAAGCTGCTAATTTGCGAAGATTACCCGTACGTACGGTGCAGTCGCTTTTACGTGACCTTTTCAATTTGGTCGGCTTATTAGAGAATTGCTGACATATTCTTGTTTTTGAGATAACTTTCATTAGAGCCGTAATTCAAGGCTGAAATTAACAGGAAGGAATTTTCATGAATCATTTTAATTTGTTTAAAGTATGCCATGTTTCTTAATGTTATGGGAACTGCGTATTCGATCGCTAAAGTACGACCAGTCTAAAATAAATCAAATTTGTTTTTATCTTCTTAACGTGTAAAGTATGAAATCTAAAATGTCTGCTGTAAACAAGCGTCGAACCACGGGTATTTTTTACAGCTGTTTATTTGGTTATAAGTGTATTGGTTTACTTGCAAACCCGTTTCTTCTGATTTTTGAAACCATTTAATTACATTGGTTTACGTCAACCAAATCAAAAACTAATGATTAAACAAATTTAAACAAATTGAGGTCTTTTATTGGTATTTTTTTCAAACTTCTGCGTTGAGCCGTTTTCGAGATCTGGGAAATCCCAAAACGTTACCGCAGCAAAATCTTAAATAACTAAAGAACTATACCACACACAAATTTTGCTATTTATAAACATTTACTACTCAACAAAAGCTATCTATTCATGTATTTGGTTCCGTGCTGAAACTAATTTTTGAAAGACGATTTTGCCTGGGTAACGTTTCAAACGTTACTCCAGCAAAATTTGTTTTTCTTAAATAACTTAAAAACTACAATTCAAACAAATTTTGCTATTAGTAAACAAATTGCTCCTCATGATACACTAATTATTTGTTTAAGTCTCATCTCTCTAAAGCAAAACATTTTGCCTGGGTAACGCACACTTGTTACAGTACTGCGCACTGAGTTTCTATCCCAAATTAATTTATTTTTGTACCTAACTCTTTATTCTAGTATTTATTAGCTTACCGTTAGAAACGCATCTAATAAAAAATAATTGATTTTCTAAATATAGAAATCATCGGCTTATTTGAAATATTAATAACTAGCTTTTACCTGCGGCTTCGCTCGCGTCACAAGACGATAAAAAACCAATGTGATATATACCAATACACACAGCGCCATCTATACCAATACTTTTGTTTTCCCTCGGAAATATCAAATTTTTCCGGGATAAAAAGTACCCTATTATTTAATCTAGTCTTCTAACTATACGTCTGCAAAAAATCAAAGCAATCGGTTTAGTAGTTATGGCGTGAAAGCGGAACAAACAAACAAACTCACTTTCCGATTTATAATATTATAGTAAGGATATTTAATCTCTCAATATTAATAATTAACACCAGAAATAACTTATGGAAATCGCTTCTATATAAATGATAATC